TTATAGTATTTATGGCTACTGATAGAGCATGACTAAGGGCAGTTTCTGAGAAAAAATGACGTTGTTACCGATAGGTCTTGAAGAATAAAAAAATACTACAAAAATATCAATAAAATTGAAAATCTTGATTTTTAGTGGTTTTGAATTGAAAATTTTCAATTAAAAATTTTTTTTCCGCTTCAAACGAAATAATGAAATAAGCAGAATTGTAGAGCGAAAAAAGTTCTACAAAACTAAGTAGAACAATAATGTTATCGTATTTTGATAACGACTAATAAAGGAAGATTTTCGTATCAGTCTAATTGTATGAATCCTGATAATACCAAACACTATTTCATATTGAAAAATTCTTGAAATTGAATAGCAATCAATCCGTTCTACATACCGCTTGATGTAACTTTTTGAGCTCTACAAAACCCTGTATGTAGTTATTCTAAATAAATAGTTCGGCAAATCCGGCGGGGTCCTTTCAAGATTAGTAACGAATCAAAACTAGATGATACACAGGCTAACCGAATGGTGTGGAGTACATTCCTAAATTAAATCTGTTGTTTACGTGAGACTGCAAAACTTTCGAAATAGTTGAATTGTCAAATTTAATTAAAAAAAGACATATTTCTATATTGTACGAAGAAGAACGCTGAGGTTAACGCATGTTTGATTATATATATACACGACAAATCGGTTCTTAGGCAACAAAGCGTGTTTTATGCTAATCGACTCATTGATTTTTTTTAATCTTCAATTCGCTATGATTATTCGTTTCGAATCAACACTCACTGTTATTGCTGAAACTCATGTTCATTCTTTAGAAAAAAGACGGAGCTCACATTTCAAAACCGTCATTGTATAGAGCGAATTGACAACGAACGGAATTTCGTATCGAATTTTCGAAAAATAATTGATTTACTGATATATGAAACTTTGTAACAGCGTTTGACCGAAAGTAATACGACTCTCTAGTCTTTGAATCATCGCGACACAAAATAGTGAGTTAGTGTTATGATGTGTTGATAAAGTAAAAAAACCTCGTGATTGACTTCTGTGGTGAATTACATAAATATCTTAAACAAGTGTAAGATGTACATCGATGATACGCAAAAATATTCGTTAGTTAGAAAATTCAACCAAAAGAAAAAGTACAGTCTTATCCATCTCATCAATAGAAATCGACGTTTTCAAGAGAGACAATATTAAATTATTAGGAAAAAAAAATGAATAAAAAAAAGACTTAACCGTTCAAACCATCAGTTCCGAGGAAGAATCGACGATATGACTAATTTTTCTGACTTATTTGATTAAAAAATAAAACTAATTCTAGTCAACTGCAGATATGTTAAAGAAAAAAAAATATTTGAGACTCATTTATAAAGATGATTATTGGTTTTCTACAAATTATCGTTTTCTATGAAAAAATATTATTTGAATAATATGAATGAAACAAAAAAAAAATTCTTTATTTTTATGCACTTTATACTGATGAATACAAGAATAAGAGAAAAATTACACGAGTTCTTTCAGAATAAAACACTAAATAATAGTTCATATATATGAAGCAATTTATTTGCATTCAGCTAATTTACTTTTTACTTGATTTACCATTACTGGATCAGGAATTCTAGCATGTTTAGTCAAATTTTCATCTGCTTTTTCAAATTTTTTTTTAGCTGCATCACGTTTACCATCCTTGAGAAGTGCATCTCCCCAATCCATATTAGCTTGTGCCACATCAACAGCAAATTGAGGTAATAAATATTGATCGTCATTATTACAAACAACACGTACTTTTGAAAATTTACATGCCCATCCTTGATGATACAAAACATCTGCACAATAAATATAAATGGCATAAACTTGTGGTAAATCATGAATTTTAGGTATAATACTTTTTCCAAGTCCACCAGACGTAATAAAAAATACTCGATTATTAGTACATTTATCACGAATATAATTTATACATCGATCTTCTTGATTTTGACACATTTCCCATTCAAATGTACCACTAATGTCGTCATAGATCTCACGTGTTTCTACTAGTAAATCATCAAGTGTAATGAATTTCAAATCTTTAAATGTAGCTAAATTAACTGGTTGTGCTGGCAATGGTATGAGTGTATTTGAACCAGTTTTTGTTGGTTGATTAGCAGAAGCTGTAGAGTTTGATGTTGTTGCTTGAGGTTGTGGCTTATAACCAGGAGCTGTTGCATATGCAAATTGTGCCAAAAGTGGATTTTCTGGTGATCGATGTTCGTTTGAGTCCGATTGTGAATTTTTAGAAGATAAATTAGAAGGTTTTTTGGACATTGTTTATCAATGTAATAGTTTCAATTTTTTCTTAATAAAAACAAACTAAATAGTATTTTTTATTTTGTCAGTATTCTGCTTTTTTTTTCGTGATAGAAATGATAAGAATAGTGTTTTTATTTTTCTTTACTTTTTTAGTAGGTAAGACATAAACAGGAAAAAACCAAGCATTCGGTAGAACAGAACGTAAAAACAATATTTTTTTCTCTTTTTCTATTCTGTTATAATTTTGGGAAGAAAAAAAAAAAAACCGAATGTTTTTTTTTCTTACTGGCGATAATAGCGAAAAATGACAACTTCTTTGAAGGACATTTGATATAGCTATTCATCTTATAAAATGTGCGACATAGAATGAATCACACAATGGTCTAAATATTTCAAAGAGATTTGAAAAAGTTTTTAATAATGAAAATGGATAAACAATAATAAATAAATACAAAAAAGTCTTGTAGAGAGTGTAAAATGAGAAACTATTCGATCACGGATTTTCAAAATCTCTTTTTTTTTTCTTGAAATTTTATAAGGAAGTAGTGGCACAGAAAGCTAAATATAGGAGTTCGTTTATGATAAAGTTTAGGTTGGAAAAATTATTTTTATTCTATTTTTCTTACTTCTATCGGAAGAAAAAGTAAAACAGAATTTGCTTCATGTCAATGATTCATCAGTATAAAGCATTTTAAGCGTAATGCTTTTTTTTTTATGGTCCTTCTTTTTTTTTTGTCTCGAACATTCTGAGTCGTTTGAGAACGAAAAGAAATCAAAACTAATACATAAAATCATATTGATTCTATCTACTTAAACATTTATAATATCATGTATGCAAGTTCAGAGAACAAACATTTCTTTTTCTCAAAATTCTATTTTTTGATTAATAGTCCGATATGTTCTATTGTATTGAATTCGAATGAATTTATAATTATAATTTTCATTATTTCAAAAAGTAACATTATTATTTCTCATTGAAACTTGGAAGTATATATATATATATATCTGAAGTACAAAAATTACTATTGACATACATTAATTTTCAATCAATATTCCTTATATATATCTGTGTTCAGCAGCGGCATCTATTGAGTGGTATCAGTTTTCAGATAAAAACCTCAACTGATTATTAATAATTAAACTAATTTAGATCTTTAGATTATAATATTAAAATTCTTTCATAATCTAGCTGTCATTATATTAAATAAACATCAATGCACCAATAAAAACACTTGCTTGTTTAGTTCATTCTCTCAAAAACAAAACACATTGTATTATATGTCAATTATTTTTTATCATAAAAACAAGCATTAGATAAAGTCATTGTTCTTAAAATTCCAATATGCCTCGTTCTTATTCTCGTTCTCGTTCACGTTCACCAATAAATGCATCTTATCGTCGTCGTTCACGTTCGCCAAGACGTAATAATAATGATCAGGAAGAAGATGATAATAATTCTCGTTTACATGTTGCTGATTTATCATTAAATTGTACGAAACGTCAAATTGAAAAAGCATTTGATAAATGGCCAATACTTGAAGTTTGGCATGCACAAGCATCATGTTTTGCTTTTGTTGTTTTACGTAATCATGACGATGTTCAACAAGCTATTAATGAACTTGATGGCCGGTAAGAAAGAAAAAAGATACTTATCTTATGCTTTATATTTTACAAAAAAAAATAATTTATTTAAGATATATTGGGGATGCACGCGTTCGAGTCACTTTAGCTCGACCACGCATACGTGCTAGTGGCGGTGGTGGTCGAAGATATTTTGATCCGAATAAGTAAGAATATTTTTGTATTGTTCTAATTAAAGCTTTTTTTATTGTTGTTATTAAAGGCGATGCTATCAATGTGGTGGTCGAGGACATTTCAGTCGTGATTGTGGTAATGAACAACAAAGCAAAAAAAAATCTGGCAATGGATATCGGTGAGTTTTTTCATTAATGGAGTGGCCGAAACAATTGGAGAGTATGTAATATATATATACATAAATATATATCACACTGGGATCATCAATATGGTCTTGGATGGGATAAATATTAAAAATGCCTGGGTTTGGTTTTGAATTTGACAATAAATTAAGGTAAATTCTTGAGAGGCTTTGTTTTTTTTCCATGAGTATAGAATCATTGTTTATATATGGAGTGAGTTTTATATATGAAAGAAAAAAACATTTGTTTTTTTTTGAAAATGTTTTTCATTTTATTTAGATCTCGTTCACGTGAACGTCGCTATGAACGATCGTATTCTCGTTCTCGGTATGCATAACAAATACATATAAATATATATATAAATTATTTTTATATTTAGTTCACGTTCACCTCGTCCACGTGTTATTCGCGAGTATCGTCGTCATAGGTAAATAAATATTTATATTAAATTAAATTAAAATATTATTTTTTATAATACAGTCCTCGTCGATCACCACCACCAAAACCGAATTATAAATCACGTGACAATGGATCGGGTTATTATTCGAGGTAAAGATTTTTAACCTCTCTAGAACACGAAAATCTTGGCATTAATCATTTACGCATTTTTCATTGTCTTTGAATATATGTTCAGATTTTCCGTTTGGAATACGATTGAACAGCGATAAGTAAATTTTGTAAATTACTCCAAAAAACTGTGTCTATACAAAGGAAAATAGCAGTTTTAGCGTAGTCCTTAGTTTAGGTCTTCGAACACTTTTAACTGAGCATTTATTTTCGAATACTGAATTCTGTACAAAATGATATATTATAAATATTTAATGTCCTAAAAAGTAACTTCTCAAAATCCTTAAGATTGCTAGTTTTCTGAAAGACTCGGAGTCTTCTATTGCGGTTAGAGATTTCGAGTAAATTGTTTTGCATGTCAAATTTGAAAACTATGAGGAAATCTTGAACATATATATGAGTGAATATTTTATGCCAAGAGTTTCTCTCCATAGGCTATTTAAATCTTTCAAAAGTTTAGTAAAAATATTGATTCTTTTTTTTTTTGTTCATCTACATTGATTGCTAAGATTTACAAAATTCTTTCTAATTATTCATTTTATTATTTTTATTTTATTTTAGTCCACCTCGAACATAATTTACGAAAAGAAAAGAAATTTGCATGTGTTATTCATTCAAGAAAAATTAAGACATTGTATTGATCTGTTTTCTTATAACGATCGCTTAGCGTTCTCTATGTGTTGTGTTTATTGTTTATGTATTTCAATTCGACTTTGTGCTTTGTTCTATGTTTGCCACTGTTCGATAATATGAACAAATTTAATCATAATGAATTGTCTATCGTTCTATTTTAGTATTTGATTTGTTGAATTCGTCTTTTTTTTACTTTAATTTGGTATTATTCATAAAAAAACTATGCCTCGATCACGATCTCGTTCACGAAGTTCAACACCATCAACGCGACGATCTCATTCACCAGTATCAGATCATGATAGTGGAAATGATCGACCAAATGAATATCGTATTCATATTGCTGAATTACCACAAGGTGTACAAGAAAGTGAAATACGAAAAACATTTCAACGTTATGGTACATTACTTGATGTTTGGGTTGCAAGTGCATCTTGTTTTGCATTTGTTGTTTATAAACAAAAAGAAGAAGCACAAAAAGCTATTGATCATATGGATGGAAGGTATGATATATAGAATATATTATTTATACGTACAAAGAAAAATCTAGACAATTATTATTGGATTAAGATCATTTGGAAGTAATCGTGTAAAAGTGACATGGGCTCGACCACGAACACGTAATCGTTCTCATCGTTATGATCCAAATATGAGATGTTATAAATGTGGACAACGAGGTCATTTTAGGTAGGAATTTAGAAATAAAATATAAGAAAATATTTTATTATTATTATAATTATTTTCTAGCCGTGATTGTGAACGTTTAATGATGGAAGGACGTTCATCACGTCGTCGTGATGATAACTATGGTCGATATTCATCTTCAAACAACAATCGCCGCTCGAGGTATGGATGGATACTAATATTGAATGACAGTATACGCATATGATTTGGTTTCTAACATGTATATCTATATATAACTGGTGTTGATTAATATATCTTTCTGGATCCATAACATACGTACAAATTTTGGAGGTAGACATAAAAGAATAGAAAAAAAAAAAGATATTTATGCATAATATAGAATAAAAAAAATTTCTTTGGGTTTTGGTTGTCTCGGACGGTGTGAGATATTTGGAAAGGAGATATAAAAACTGATAATGGATTTGGATATGGTTCATATGGAACTTTAGGTCTCGTTCACCATGTTCACCGGCACAATTACCCACACCAGCCTATTTTCGTCATGGAATGCCAATGTACCCATCATTTTCACGTCGATATGATGATTATATGGGTAATTATTATCCACCAGCAGATCGATCAAATGGCCATGAATATCGTTATCGTGAACGTGGTACACGTTTAACACCACCATCAGCAAGTGCTAGATACAGTCGACGGTAGGAAAATAAAGAAAAAACAAACAAATAAAATTTATTTTTATTATTTTATAGATAATTAATACAACTACAGTTTATTTATTCTTTTGTCTTTTTTTTTTTCAATATAACAAATAGTAAGTGAAGATTATTATAATTATTCTATGATTATTATGATAGATTTAGACATGATCAAGAACAAAAATACATAAATGTGATATTTGTTGTCTTTTAATAATCTAGAAAACTTTTTTCTTTTTCTTTCGCTTCAGTATATTCATATTATTGTTCGATTTCTTTTTTCATTATATTGTATTTCTTTTTTTTTTTTGTTATGTTTATCAGCTACAACAATCGAGAGCTTTTCTTTTTTGATCTTTCTCTTTTCTTGTATTTCAACGAGCAAATTGTTGATGTCTTTCATGTTTTGTGATCACATATTGATACTATTCTTTCCACAAATAATCACAAATCATATATTGTTCATTGAATTGATGTCGATCTCAGTTTCTGTTTGTGATAGTGTGCTTGTTGTATGACTATGCTTTTTTGTGTTTATTTGAAAAATTGACGTATTTCGTATTTATCTATCATTCAAAAAAATTACTTGAAAACAAAAACATCGAATATAACTTGTGATAGTTTCTTTCTTCTAGTTATTTAGATTAAGTATATATACATAATGTCGGCCAGTACGGAAGCAAGTGCAGTTATAGAGCTTTTTAAAAGAAAATCAATATTTATTACTGGTGCAACAGGGTAAATGATATAAGAAAAAAAAGAGATTTTTTTTGTTATGTTTGATGTTTTTTAATTTATAAATCATTTATTTAGATTTATTGGCAAACAACTTGTGGAAAAACTTGTTCGATCATGTCCAGGTAAAATAAATTCGATATACTTTAGTCTATAATATTTATCATTTAGATGTCGAACATATTTATCTTCTTGTACGACCAAAACGTGGTCATGCTGTTAACGATCGATTAAAAGAATTATTATCAAGTCCTGTAAGACTTTAAATGAAAATAAAAAACAAAAAAAAAGAAAAATTTTCAATTTTTTTTTTTTCAATTTAGTTATTCAATACAGTTCGAGAAATTCATCCAAATTTCGAAGAAAAAATTAGTGCTTTACAAGGTGACATACTCGATCCAAATTTTGGTCTTGCTCCAGCAGATGAAAATCTTTTAATTGAACAATGTCAAATTGTATTTCATTCAGCAGCAACTGTTCGATTTCAAGAACCACTTCGGTACGATTGTTAAAAAAAATAAATCAGACATTATTGTTAAACTATTATTTAATATTTAAGACTTGCAATACAAATGAATGTTGCATCTGTAAAAAAATTACTTTGTTTATGTCATAAAATGAAAAAATTACAAGTAAAAACAAAAGAAAAATGAGAATATTTCTTTTTAATTATTTTTGTTTTCATAGTCTGTTGTTCATGTATCTACAGCTTATGCAAATTGTAATCGTAATGATGTTGCTGAAATGATTTATCCACCACCAATTCAACCAACCAAATTATTAGAAGCTAGTGAATGGATGGATGATCAAGTATTTGATGTATTAACAAATAAAATTATTCATGATAGACCTAATACATATACATTTACAAAAGCACTTGCAGAATATATAATTTCACAAGAAGCAAAAGATCTACCGTTAGCAATTATACGACCATCAATTGTTGGCTCATCATGGCGTGAACCAATACCAGTAATTTAAAGAAAAATGAGTCTTCTTTTATTTTTTTATTATTATTATATAGGGTTGGGTTGATAATTATAATGGTCCAAGTGGATTAGTTGTAGCGGTATGAAAGAAATAACGATTTGAATCATGACAGAAGGTTTTTTTTCTTTTGTTGATGAATTTTAGGCCGGTAAAGGAATGCTTCGAACAATGTTAGGTAGTAATAATGCAATAGCCGATATTGTTCCGGTCGATATTTGTGTAAACATGATGATTGCTATTGCTTGGTATACGGCTGTAAAACAGTAAGTGAACCAAATTATTTGTTCGTGACTTCACAAAGTTACTGAAAATTTCACCGTAGATGCGACCATCCTGAAACTTTCGGGCTCTTTCTTTGTTCTCGTTTGGTTACAGAGATATTCGTTAATTGCTTTTTAATTAATATTATATGTATAAACAATTGCTTTTTATGCTAATAAAAAAAAAAATCTTTCCCGTAAAACTTATCCTTTTTTTTTTGTAGTCCAAAAAATATTCCAGTTTATCATTGTTGTACTGGTCATTTGGGCACATTAACATGGGGTAAAGTAGCTGAGTATGGTTTATATCATCTTTCTACAAACAGTTTGGAAAATGCTATTTCATATCCATATTTACAATTCACTGAAAATCGGTAATATCATTCGACTAAAAAGAACACAATTTTCATACATATATTTTCTATTTAATTAGATTTCGATATCATTATCTTCGAGTTTTGCAAGAATTAGTTCCTGCATTTGTTCTCGATTGTTATATGCGTTTAGTTGGACGTAAACCCATGTAAATACAATTTAAATCATTTTAAATGTTTTTCAAAAAAAAGCTAACTTTTTTAGTTTTATAAAATTATCTGAAAGAATTTATAAAAGTGTTCGCACACTTGATTTTTTTACTTCACATTCATGGTTATTTCCAAATGATAATAGTGTGCTTTTACAAAATGAAATGAACGATATTGATCAAAAAGTAAATCGATATAATCAACAAAATAAACAATTGATTATTTAATTATCAAATTATTATTTTAGATATTTGGTTTTGATCTCAAAGATCTTGATTGGTTTCAATATTGGCGTAATTATTGTTTGGGTGCAAAACAATATTTACTTCGTGAAGATCTTTCTCGTACATCAAAATGTTATAAACGATATATAAGGTAAATAGATATATATATAAAAAAAAAGAAAACAAATTTCTTTGATTAATTTTAGATTAAGACGTTTACAAAATCTTCTATATTTTACGGCAATAGCATTGGTTATCAAATTAGTCTTTTTTAAGTCATTTAAATTTCGTCGAATATTTATCATTCTTTTTCGATTAATTATCGTCGGACTTTCAGCAATAATAAAAAAGATTGGCCTTCGAAGAGAATGATCTAAGACAATCGAAAAAAGAATGCTAGTTTTTCTTTTTTTTCGTGCAATTGTTGAACAAAAACATATCAGAGATAAAAGGAATAGGAATAAATATTCATCTAAAAATTTTTAGTTTTTAATTTTTATTTCAATCTTCAATAATAAAACGATTATAAAAGAGATTAATAATATGCAGTTATTGAAAAAACAAAATCGAACGAAAAAAACTGTTATAAAAAATTATTTCTACAGATAAAAACAATGGCTCAAAGTTGGTCTAGTCAGATGCATTCAGAATATTTTTACTCAATGGCAGAAGTTTTTTTTTATTGTTGCCTATTCTCGATAGATCAACAAATATTGTATTGAATTAACCAAAGGTTCATGTTGTCATAGAATTATCATTATTGCTTTTATACATTAAAAAGAATGCACAAATGGCAACAGACAGGTCAATGCAATGATCATGAATGATAGACAGAGGCAGGTTAAAGAGGTATATAGTCTTTGATGATAAGATCAGACCGATGAAAACTAGGTCTATTCAATATTTACAAACACGAGACGTCTTCTCGATAGATTTACTATGAATTTCGAAATAGAAGGTGGACCATTCGCGAACACGAAGAGATATTGCGAAAAAGCTTTCTTCGATCGGATTTTTAGAAGAGAAAATTCTTCTTTTTTTAAATTAAAAGGTTTTTCTGGAGACTCCTGATGTATTGATTTAGAAATCTAATCGAAGAAAGCTTTTCTTCTATAATTCAATATATCTCAGGCTTGAGTACAAGCTGACGAAAACTGTTTTGCAATATTTGTTTGTATCAGTAGTTATTCAAGTTTCTATGACTCACCTTCGACGTTTAGATACCTAGTGATTGTCCTACAAAATTTCACAAGAAAAGCTTTCCAGAAGGATCGTTTTTCCTGTATTTATAAATTATGATTGCCATTTTTTCTCACTTGTCATGGTTCAATAATTGATTTTGTTCTACATAACATGTCTGTACTTATAAGAATCAATCAACGAAGTTTATTCACAAGCAAGACTTTATCATGAAAAATAACGAAAACCCATTAAATTCGTTGAGAATAACAGTTGTCGAAGCAAAACTTTGATTCTTGTCACAAAAAAAAAAGATTTTCGAAACGATTTATAAATACAATGTCAGACATTGTTTTGTTTCCATTGAAATTCTCAACGTTGAGGAGAATAAAATAACTAATTAATTATTTTAATCTAAATTAGTAGACAAATAACTAATTTATCAATATTTATGATTTCTATCTTGTCTATTATTTCATCATATATTTTTACTGATCTATTAAATAAATGAAAAAAACACATTGACATTGAGTGTCATCTATCAATGAAAAATTCCGATGCAGGAGGTTTTTGTCACGGCAACGTCATTATAGTTGAAGAAAATTCTTTTATTTCAATTGTCTAAAACAATCTATACACATAAGAAATGCGCCTTAAACGTTTTCTTCTACGATATTATCCTCCAGGTATGATAGTTTTAGTTTTTACAAAATATTAATCTATACATTAATTCTAGGAATTATTCTCGAGTATGAACAAAGTAATGTATTAAAAACGAAATCAATTGATTTACTTGATCTTAAACCTGAGTAAGAAAAAAAAACAGAAAGATATTAAGTATACTAAAAAAATTCTTTTGTTTTTTTTTGTTTTTTAAGTACTGATATCAATAGTGTTGTTGAGGAGATTGTAAAAAAAGAACCATTAATTACAGCAGCAAAAGTTGACAAAGTTAAAGAATTAATTGAAAGTAAATATATGACTTCAATTTTTTTGTTATTGAATTTTATTATTCTTTGCTTTTGTTTTTTATATTAAGGACTACAAGAAAAAATTTCTCATCAAGAAGATAGACGTTTTTATTTATTCAAAGTACTTCGTGCTCATATACTTCCATTAACATATGTAGCATTCAATAAATCTGGTTCCATGTATGATATTTATTTTAAATATTATTCATAAAGTGATTTCTTTTATTTTTCTTTCTATTTTCATTTAGATTTATTACCGGTTCATATGATCGAACATGTAAAATATGGGACACAGCATCAGGTGAAGAATTACATACACTTGAAGGACACAAAAATGTTGTTTATGCCATAGCATTTAATAATCCATACGGGTTTGTTTCTTTTCTTTTTACGATAATTTATTAACATTTTGAAGATTATAGTAGAGGAATTTTTTGTATAAATATAATCGAAGAAAAAGAGAGAGAAGTTATTGTTTTTCTGCAGAATGGATATTTTTCCACAATAGATAAATTATGTGTGGGATTTATATTAGGATGTAAATCTTGCTCTTGACAATCGAATGAACTCAGAAATATGAAAATACATTGAGAACACAGTGTATACTTTTGGATTATACCTCATAATGTATGTATTAGCTCTGAAGAGTTTCTAGTTAACTATGATTAATATAAGAGGACGTACACGCTTTTGTAGCTGTTTGAAAAATCGAGAAATTCCATTTTAACTATTTGAAAACAAATCTAAATTTTTATTTCATATTCTTATTTTAGAGATAAAATAGCAACTGGTTCATTTGATAAAACAGCTTGTATTTGGAGTACAGAACGTGGTACATGTTATCATACACTTCGCGGTCATACTGGTGAAATAGTAAATAAAAACTATTTATTTTGTTTTTTCTTTTTACTAAATAATATTTATTTTCATTACAAAATTAGGTATGTCTTGCATTTAATCCTCAAAGCACAGTGTTAGTAACTGGCAGTATGGATCATACAGCTAAATTATGGGATATTGTTTCTGGTACAGAAATAGCTAGTTTACATGTATGTTATTTATATAGAAGTGTTTTTAAGTTTTATTTGAATACTGTATTCATATTTTAGGGTCATACAGGTGAAATAATATCAGTTAGTTTTAATACAAGAGGTGATCAAGTAATAACAGCTTCGTTTGATCGTACTGTTGCTATATGGGATGTTCGTACTGGAAAGTAAGAAAACTAAGAATATATATATAAATATATTCATTTTGTAATTTTTTTTTCTTTTATATTTCTAGTAAAATTCATACATTAATTAGTCATACAGCTGAAGTAAGCAGTGCACAATTTAATTGGGATTGTAGTCGAATAGTGACTGGTAGTATGGATAAAACATGTAAATTATGGGATGCATTATCTGGTAAAAAAAAACATAAATTCATTGAATTTATTTTAATTTTATTGCTGATTTATAGGGGAATGTATTGCAACATTAAGAGGACATGAAGATGAAGTACTTGATGTTGTCTTTGATGCTACTGGTCAATATATAGCAACAGCATCAGCTGATAAAACTGGACGTGTATATGATGCACTCAATCAATTATGTATAGCTACATTAACAGGACATCAGGCTGAAATATCTAAAGTAAAGTTTATATAAAAAACAAAGTTCTTTTAATTTTATTTCGGTTTTCTTTTAGATTGTTTTTAATTCACAAGGCAATCGTTTAATCACAGCGAGTATGTTTTGAATGATTAGAAAAAATAAAATTCAAAAAAAAAAAAAAAATTTATTATATTTTAAGGTGCAGATAAAACAGCTCGAATTTGGGATCCACTAACAGGTGAATGTAAACAAATACTTGAAGGACATACAGATGAAATTTTTAGTTGTGCTTTTAATTATGAAGGAAATACAATTATTACAGGTTTGAATAAGAAAATAAATCAAATAAAAAAAAAAATAAATATTATATTTTATTTATTTTCAATAGGCAGTAAAGATAATACATGTCGAATTTGGCGATAAATCGATGTCTTAAATTATCTTCGATCTCTTTTTTTGTTTAGCGTGATTCATTTATTCTTTCTTGTTTTTTTTGTTTCCGCAATATCTCTCTGTTTTTTTATGAAAGAAAAATATAATATTGTATAATCATTATTCACGAACGATTTATTTCCACATTTGGTTTCTAGATCTAATTTAAACAAAAAACCCAAAACAATGTCTCGAATTTGTCGAAATCCACCAGCATCAACTACTCGACGACCACCAGTCACAAGACCAACAGAACAATCAACTACTCGACGACCACCAGCTACAAGACCAACACAACAATCAACTCCTTCTAGGTCAACAACCAATCAATCCGTAGCTCGTGGTGCTCGAACATCAATACGAGGTCGAGCTTTGCATACTCAACGACCACAACAAGAAAGAAACGATAATAATCCATACAATGACAATGAAAATGATGAAACAAAACAAGAACAACGTACCGTTCATGTTGGGTTTGTTGATTAGTTGTTTCAATTTTTTATTCAATAGAAACAAAAACAGCAGTAGACTTATGCGAGAACCTTCTTCGATGTCTCCTTCTGATCTTAATGATGTTTTTGTCTATAAATATTAAATAGTGTTCTAATAAAAATCCTAAAAAAATTAATATTTAGCTAAGTTATAGAATTTTTAATGTCTTTTTTCTAGGAACACCAAGTTTTCCGAAAATTTGGGATTCTTTAGGTAATAGATATATTACAAATTAGATAGATTAGTCAAATCTCAATAGAAATTCAAATGATTTTAACAGTGTTTTATTCAGATTTCCTCTTCCGGAGGTCCAATCCGATCTTCGGAGAGGCGCTGCTCCCTCGACCCTCACACCAGTTAAAACACTACATTTTAGGGTTTTTATTAGAACACGAAATAGTCTCTATAAGCAAAAAAAACCCATTGAAATCGGAAGAGAACATCTTATAAGGTTTTCTCGTTAATGTATATTAAACTTTGTTGTTATTGTTGTTCTCTTTTTAGTGATGGTTATCATATGTTTACACCATCAACAACAAAACGTGAACAAATGAGAAGACAAGCTGAAAATGAACAACGTCAATATGAAGCACATGTTGAACGATCACGTCTTCATGGTATTCATGAAGTACATCGTTTAGGTAAGCTGAATTTCTTTTGAAATAAAAAAAAAAAAACAGTTTTTTTCTTTTGCTTAAAAGGTGGTGATGGACTAAATGAAGATGAAGTTCGTCAACGACAAGCAGAAAAATATCGACGAGAAAAATTTATGAGATTAGTAAGTAAATTTTGTATTCTTTTTTTGATTTATAGACGTATATTTATTCTAGGAAAAAACTCATCAAGATCAATTTCAAAAAAAACAAGAAGAAGAAAAAAATATCGAAGCTAAAAAGCAAGCAGCTCGTCAACAGGTAAAAGTTTGTTAATGTAAAATAAATATTGATATTCCATGATAAGAACAATACTATGCAATAAATACATAATGCATTCATTTGAAATGCAAAAGCTCGACAAAGTACTCGCGCTCGAATTCATATATTTGTATTCTTTATATCAAATACCTTAAAGAAACTGACGAATCGAACGTAGCTCAAAAAAAAAAATCCATGACACAATGAAAATATTTCTTCCCTTACTTAAAAATGTGTGTCGACCTACTTTTCTTAAATGTAATGAGTTTTCGTTTGCAGTATTTTTTTTAACTCGAAATTCGGTAATAAAAATAGTAATAAGGATCTTCGAACTGATAACTTTTACAAAACTTCGACCTGAGTTTTGATATATGACATGTTTTAGGCTAATGGCTATACTACTATATAGTTTTGTAGAGCAATTTTCGACGCATCGAATAGTATATAAAAAGTCATGTTTTTCTCACATTTTAGTATTCTCAGTGTCCATGTAATGGTTATTATTTTTAACAAATATATATGATACTCATAGAGATTGTAGATCCTTAGATGTTCTAAAATAAACTCATGAAAATTTCATTTTTCAACTCAATTTCATACAGTCATAGATATACTCTTCAATTTTCAACAATCAATAGTGTTTATCATTGCTTTCACCTACTTAAAAATAGTCATTTTTCTTAGGCCTAGGTCATTTCTTCACTATATGCTCAATTCTATGCTACAGAACAACTGAGTAGCAATGTGAAATTTTACCTACGAGATTGTTCTCTAGAATAATCTATTTTCCTATATGAAGAGATCGATATATTGACGATATTTTAACAATATTCAAAACTTCTAGTAAAATTTTTTTGATGCACCAATAATCAGCACAGTATCCTTGATGAATTAATATAAATAACTCCTTTATAAACGAGAAAACATTTTTTTGCCTTCAGACCCCTGGAGGGGAGTACGGCTATAGGGTTGCAGGCAGGAGGTCTGTTATTTCTTTGTCAAATTTTTCTTCAGAATATTCAGGTTTCATTTTTTGTTGCATAAAACTGTACTAGAATCTATAAATATCTCATGATAATTTCAAAAAGAAAATTTTCCATATCTTTGACCTTCGCTCCAGGAGTCTGGATGCCCAAAACTGTTTTTCCGTTTACAAAGTTCATTATGGATACTTTGCTGATTATTGATACTTAGAAATTAATAATAGAAACCTTAAGTGTTAAAATATCGTCAATACACCGGTCTCTGAGTATTGAAAAATAGGCTATTGTAGAGAACAATCTTGAAAGTTGACAATGAGTCTCTAGTGTTTGAAAAATGTTATGCATGAAGCATATGAAACTCAATAGTGTGCAATTTTTAACGACGTTTCATGTTGTTACTCACTTGTTCTATGGCACAGAGTTAAGCACACTAGAATATCATATAGTCAGAAAATAACCGAGAACTAAGAAAACGAACCATTTTTTAAATATACAGAAAACAACGATGAAAATTATTTATAATAGAAAATTGAATTGTATCTATAACTATATTAAATTGAGTTTTAAAACAAAATTTTCATGAATTTATCTTAGGAACTGCAATGTCAATGATTGTCATATATATTTCTCAAGAATTATAGCGAGTTCATGAACCCTTCGAACATCAAAATTTAATAAAAAATCGATTTCTTATCTAATGTTGAATGCGCTGTAAATTGCTCTACAAAACTAAATATAAGGTATTCTGGTTTTAGACAGATCACCAAAACCGGCAAAGTCTTTTTTCTTTCTTTTCTTTATAGCAGATTTTAAGCTTGTTCTATATTATATAATTATCTTTTATTTTTTAGTCTATGCAAAATGAAAAACGAAATCCAACAATTGATCAAAATGATCAAGAAGCTACTGGATGGACAGATGATGCTCGTGAAGCCGATCGGCAAGAGTAACAATTTAATAAAAATGTTTTATTTATTTATTCAATTTATATTGCATTTTGCTATAGAACAATGGATCGATTTTTAAATCGATTAACTCATGAATATAATGATATGAATATACCTTCAGATGAAAATGAAATAGATATTCGTATGTCATTTTATTTTTTTATTTTTTCTCAAACTTTTCACTGATTTTTACAGATAATGATGAATCAAAATCAGAAAAACTCTCAATACTTCGTGATATGTTTCCTCATATTGATGATCAAACTCTTGAATATCATTTGGAAACTTTCAATGGTAACATCGATGCGATTGTTACTGAACTTACTGACTAAATATGATTTAGTGCAATAGATTTTGTAATTTTTTTAATTATTTTTATAATAAATTATCTGTTAAGAAGGATATTATATTTAATAAAGCTAAAGAAAAATTCTAATCAATTGACATAGCACCAGCAACAACACGTGAATAACCATTTTTACCATTAGCAAAATGATCAGAACCAATATGTTGACCTTTTGTTGCTTCATTAAAATGTTCTTTACGATTTTCATTAACAATTCTAAAAGGATCATCAATTGTTTGAAAAGAATTTACTTGTCTAATGAGAAAAAGAAATGAAAAAAAAAACAAATTGATATGACATTATTATTTAAATCGAAGATATTTTTATTGTACTTTTGTATTGGATAAATAGTCAGTGGTTGAGCAACAAGACGTGCTTTTGATGCAAATGTTTCTTGAGCATGATTATAACATGTTCGTAAACGAAAATCTAGATCATTTTTTGGAGAATCAATTTCCTTATAATAACAAGAATGACGATAACTTGAATCTGTTGGTATTCGAGAGAGACGATGCCAAACCGATCTATTCATTAAGAGAGAGCTCTTATTAAACTATGATATGAAAAAGAAAAAAATATTTTTGATTTAATGATTAAATATTAAAATATGATACTGAATTGTGACATTGTTTGTTAAAAGATTGATTTTGATCAGTAGGATGATTATTAATTTGAGACAGATCGAATATTTGATGGTTACAGCAGATATTTATTGAATTAGGAACTTTTATAGGTGGTAGAATGATATTGCTCATAATTAAATAATAGCATATAGATTAAAATTTGTTGCTCAGCAACAATTATCTTATACTGTATTTAAAATATACATAATTTTCTATTTATTGAATAATATTGTCTGTTCATTCGAGAACATCAAAAATAATATTCTTGATTGAATATAGTGGAAATTTTAAATCTATTTTATCCATATTAATGCTAAAGTCTTGTCTTAGAATTTTAAATATTCTAAATCTGATAATCAATGTTATTTATATTGTCGGATGTTTTTTTTTTCAAAGTAAGTCACAATGAACAAGCTGCCGATAAACAATTCAGTATAATGTGCGCTTTGTCGGCAGAAGGGACAAAAAAACATCATTGGTATACTGACGACAGTTTCGATGTTTTAAATGGTCGGTTATTCTTTGATTGGTAATTGACTGTTGTTGTACTGATGCTGGTAGCAGAGATGTCCATAGGGTGCTTTTTTTCGCCCTGCCCTGCTCTGCCCTGCGAAAAAAACGATGCACAAAAAAATTGCGTCCTGCCCTGCCCTCTCCTGCAGGACAGGGCAGGGCATAGATAAAGCTTCAATTGCCTTCAAGAAACCAAAAATTTCCTTGTAAAAGATTTGGATTAAAAATTGAATTAAAAATCAATAATAATGGCACTATTGTAATCTGATTTTAATCAGATATTTCAGCTTTAACATACAATTTTTTTAAAATTTTGATTTCATTTTAATCTGTTTTTAGTCGATGATTATAGTGGTTGTAGTATTCAAATTAAAATAGATTAAAATGAAATCGACGTAAAAAGGAATAGTCTTTTAAAGCTGAAAAATCTATTTAAAATCAGATTATAATAGTGCCATTATAATCGATTTTTAATCTGATTTTTATTCGACTATTTTTACATGGATTTTTCTGATTTATTATTTAAAATACAAAAATTGCTTTTTGTCTGTTGTTAGAAGGTGTTGCAATTGACGAGATGTATGTAA